CCCTGCTGCCCTTCCCTACCCTCTCTCACCTGCCCCACTCCACTGCTAAATGGGCACCACACCGCTTTTCTCTGGCCCGGAACCCCATGTTTCCTCATTGTCAGCCGTCTCCCTCCTTTTTGCCTCATACCTGTCCCCCACATCACCCGCAGATTCCTCAGACCAACACCCAGTGCCTCTAAACCTGATTCCCAAACACTGCTTTCATGTGATGCGCCGACCAACGCTCATCCCGCCCCTGCCCCCAAATCCGGCCGCGTGCCCACCCCCGGGCACCCCGCTCTCTGAGTCTCTTTCCTCTCAGTGTCACAGGCTGCGTCCACATTGCGGACCCCAAGTCACCCCCACACCCCATTCTTCCAGAGTTTCCTTGTTTGTTCTCTCCAATCATGAAAATGGGGTTCAGGGCATTTTGGCTCTTCCCATTGGTGTCCACAAATCACCCCTCTCCCCTATTGTACATGACTGTGGAATCCACGGCCCACCCAAGCCCTCGCTGCTGCCCCAGCCCCCAGCCCCAGCCCTGGCCCATGCGTCCCACGACCCCCAGTTTTGGGCTCACCTCCTGGTGGCCCAGACAACTGCCCTAATGGGGGCCCCACCCACAGGCACAATGCCCCCTGCGCAGGCCCAGATCAAAGGGAAATGGGACTGTAGGAGGCACTCCCAGCCCTGGCAGGCCGTGGTGTACCGTGAGAACAGCGTGTACTGCGGGGGCGTCCTGGTGCACCCCCAGTGGGTGCTCACGGCCGCTCACTGCCTGCTCAAGTGAGTACTGGGGGGTGGGGGGCAGGCCAGGCCTCCCGGCCACCTGGCGAGGCGGGCTGGGAGCACAGGCTGGAGCTGGGCAGGGCGCAGGACGCCACCCCCACGGCTGCCTCCCCTGGCTCCCCGAACCTCCCTCTGGCGCTGCCCTGGGCCCGGCCCTGGCGCGTCTCTCAGGCTCCCGGGTCTCTTCGTCTCCGGCCACCTCGGCCCCTCGCTGCCATCGCTGTGCTGGCTGGTCACCTCCATCTGCGCCGTCTCTCTGGGGCTCACCCCACTCCCAGCTCCACTGGAACCACCCCGGGGCGTCTGAGGGCACCCAGAAGGGAGACCCCCAACATGTGTGTGAGGGGCCCACGGGTCCCAGCCCCTCCCAGAACCAGACCTCTCCAGGGGTCCTCTGGGGCTGCAGGGGTCCAGGGATGTGGGGGGATGTGGAAGGGGAGGGCCCTGGCCTAGGGCTGGGCAGCAGCCCTCTGTGGGGACCAGGACCCTCAGCCCAGCCCAGGGGACTCAGCCCTGCCTTCTCCTGCTGCCCCTCCATCTCCATCCTCCCCCTCCCTCCTCCCCTCTACCCCTCCCCGATTCTCTCCCCTCCCCTCAGCCCACCCCCTGCTGTACCTCAGTTTCCCCCTCCCTCTCCTGTCTGAACCCCCTGCGTGTCGCCCCGTGTGGGGGTCCCCTCGCCTGCTCCGCCCTCTGGCCCCAACTGCCGTGCACGCCCCCGGCATGCTGGGGTGTCTGCCTCTGGGTGCCTCAGCTGCCCACGCTGCGTGTCTAGGTCTCGCCTTTCCCGGGGCTCTTTCTGCGTCTGGCCGCCTCTCCTCGGGGCGTCCCCCGCCCCTGCCTCAGCTCCCGTCCTCCGTCCTCACCCTCCTCCCCCTCTGTCCCCAGAGAATATAATGTCTGGCTGGGACGCCAGACCCTCTTCCCGCTTGAAAATACAGTTCAGTATTTCAAGGTGTCCCACTCCTTCCCACACCCCCAATTCAACCTGAGCCTCCTGAAGAACCGCCCCGCTACACGGGCCCCGACTACAGCCACGACCTGCTGCTGCTCCGCCTGCCCAAGCCGGCCCAGCTCACCCACTCTGTGCGGGTGCTGCAGCTGCGCAGGCACGAGCCCCGCACGGGCAGCACCCGCTCCACCAGCTGGGGCAGCACCTACCCCTATGTGGGTACGCCCGCCCTCCTCCCGGGGCGCCGCGGGGCGCGGGGCCTCATCGGGAGGCCCAGCTGACCCTTCCTTTTCCGCAGACAAATTCACCATCAGCCTCCAGTGCGTGGACCTCAAACTGCTGCCCAACAGCAGGTGCGTGAAGTCCCACACCCAGAAGATCACGCAGCACATGCTGTGCGGAGGGATCCTGAAGGGGGGCCCCTCCCTGTGCGGGGTGAGTCTCAGGGCGCTGGTGAGGCTCGGCGCCCCAGGCCCCTGCTGGCTGGTACCCCGCCCAGCTCCACCCCTGCGCCCACCTTTGACGCCATCAGGGGTGACTGATTTCCCTCTCCCGTGCCTGACCCCTATAAGAGTGACTGTGAGGTCAGAGAAAGTTCTGAAAGAGCGGACCCTGAGAGGAGCCCTGAGCACGGGCTCCGGAGAGAGACCGGCCCCCCCTCCAGCTGCCCCCAGCCCTGTCCTGGACCGGGTCCTCCCCGCTAGGCTGCACCCTGAATCCCAGCCCCTCGGCCAGGACCGTCTGTCCCAGGATGGACACCCTGTCCTCCTGGGGGCTGGAGACGGTTTTCTCGCCCCATAGCGGGGGTCACTGGGTCCTCTGAGCCCAGGCATGGGAGCTGGGGCGCTGTGGGCCCACCGCCCCGACCACGCCGCTCTGGCTCCTAGGCCGACTCCAGGGGTCCTCTGATCTGCGGCGGGGTGCTCCAAGGACTCGGGTCGTGGGACCCTTACCGGTGTGACACTTTCCGCGCAGCCGGCGTCTACACCAAGGTGATAGACTATGTGCCATGGATCAGGCAGACTATAGCAGCCCACCCCTGAGACCAACCCTGCGGGCCTACTGCCTGCCCCTGGGCCCCCGTGCAACCCCCCCAACCCTGAGAGCCTCCCACCTACGCCTGAAGCTCCCCCGGCTACTCCCGCCCCCGGCTGCTGCCCACACCAGAGGCCCACCCTGTGGCTCCCGCCCGCATGAACGCCTCTCGCCCACCCCTGACGCCCCCCAACTCCCGCTCGGCGGCGGGGTGGGGAACCCTCGCCAGTCTACTGCGCCTCCTGAGGCCCCGCCTCCAGCGCCTGCCGCCCGCTCCGGAGGCCCCGCCCGCGGAGGCCCCGCCCGCTGCCCCTCCGCCGGCCACTGAGGCCGCCCACCTGCGGGTCCCGCCCACCCGAGGCCCCGCCCCCTGCGTCTCCCTGCAAATACAGTTTCCCCCCACCCCGTTCACATCAAGTTCTCTGGCCTGTCCTTCTCGCGTTTCCAGAGTCCAGAACCTGGGTCCTTCCCCGCACGGGGATCCCGAGATGGGCCGGCCCCTGGTTCCACTGCACCCTGAATCCCACTCCCTCAGCCAGGACCTCTCCTGCAGTGCCCAACAGGAGGGACTGGCCTGGGTGGACACCAGGCCGGACACAGGAGGGCCTGGACTCGGGGCAAGGCAGGGACACCAGGCACACAGCCCAGCCCCAGGCTGGGGGTGGCGCTGGGGCGGGGGACCTGGGGTTGATGGGCCCTGGCTTCCTGTTAGGGGAGCCCATGGGCTGGGGAGCTCTGAGTCTTTCCCAGTGAAGCTTCTCCAGTCAGGCGCTTCCTGAGCCTGGAGCCGGCAGGGCTCGACCCGGGGGAGCGAAGTGGGAAGGGGGAGAACCAAGAGGCCTCCCTCTGTCCCCCGGGCACCACCCTCTCCGGGTGGGTCCAAGAGGCTCGGGCAGCCCACCCCCGTCATGCACTTGCCCCCCGGCTGCCTCCACAGCCCGCACTCGGCCCCCCGAACATACCCAGTGCCAGGCTCTGCCCGCAGCTGAAGCCCGGGTGCCAGGGCCCCGCCCCGAGGGCTTTTTCAGCGACTTCTGCACACTTCCCCTTTGGGTGTTAGTGCTGCTTGAGGTGCACAGATGCAGGCACCGCTCCCCTGCTCCCCCAGAGACGCCCCACCTCGAGGAGGGCCCCTTACTGCAGAGGTCCTTCCCTCCTGGGTCTTCCTCCCCCTCCTGCGAGATCATTTCCCTGGGAAGGGGGAGACGATGGGGCCCTGTGGGACAGTGGACCCCGCCCCAGGAGCCGCGGAATTGAGCAGCCCCACCAGCTTCGGGGTGGCCCTGGCATCCGCGCTCCCGCCGGGCAGGGCAGGGCCGGTGGTCCTGGCCCAGCACACCTACCCCAGCTGAGTCCACTCTGCTTAAAGGAAGCCCTGCCCCTGACCACCGCAGGTCAGCAGAGCGGGCCTCGGACCATGTACAGGACCCGCCCGCGCTCCTGTGCCCCGTCCTGGGCGGCGGCCGAGGCCTCGGCGCCTGGGCGCCAGGAGGCGACTTCCCCAGCTGCCTGCAGTCCAGACTGGCCAGACGCACACCGCATGGTTGCCAGTTTACTGGGGGCAGGATGTGGGGGAGGACGGGACAGGCATGGGGCTCGGGGCGGGCGGACGTGGCCATTCAGATGAGGGGCGAAGCGGGTTCCAGGCAGGGGCAGGGTACACAGTGCTCAGGGGGGCACGGGGGCTCGGGTGCGAGACGGGGGCTCAGGCGCGGGGGCGGGGGTTCAGGGGTGGCTATCAATTGTGCGCTGGATCCACTGGAGATGAGGAAGCAGCTTGCTGTACACGGAGGGCATTTGTGGCTTGGCACACGGGGTGGAGCCCCAGGACGTGATACCATGCAACACGCCCCCACATACCAGGGCACCCCCTGAATCACCCTAGGGAAGAGAGGGGGACACACACAAGCGAGGGGTCGGTCTCCATTTCTGCCTGGACACCAACTTGCCCCTGTGCGCCTCGACCAGGCAGGCTCTGGGAAAGGCAGTGGGGCAGCCACCCCCAGACTTGGGGGATCCCGCCAGAGGCCAGGGGCCGCGTTCCAGCAAGGGGTGACAGTCTGGGAGGGGCAGGCGCCCTCTGAGGGTGCCCCCAGGCCCAGCCCAGCTCACTGGCCCCTCTGGAAGTCTGCGCTGTTGAGCACCCTGGGTCAAGCCAGAAGAGGGGGGACGGTGCAGACCTGGCCAGGGCTGGGCTCTGGGAGGGGCCCGGGGTGCAGGCACAGAGAGCCAGATCTGGACTCCTGGGCTGGGCGGAGGAGCCTGGAGTCAGGGCAGAGAGCTCCGGGCTCCTCACCTTGCAGGTGTCTCTGCCGCCCGGCAGGAAGCCCGCGCACAGCATGGCGTCCGTGACCTTGGCAGAGTAGATGCTCTGGCAGAGCGGTGCGGGCAGGAGGGTGAGGTCCACGCAGTGGAGGCGACTAGGGACACTCGCTAGGCCGCAAAAGGCAGCAGCCAGGTGAACTGGACCCCGGCAGCCGCGCCTCCCGCTAGCCTAGTTCCCGCCCCCTCTCCCTAGTCCTGGACCTGCCAGCTGCCGCCCTCCCCTGCCCTGGACCAGCCCCCCCAGGACAGATCCCCCCACCAGCCCTGGACCAGCCCCCCCAGGACAGATCCCCCCACCAGCCCTGGACAGGCCCCCCCAGGCCGGTTGC